CTGCTGAACTTGCTAAACATAAAAGAAGGTATGACATTAATGAATTTATTTAACCTTTGCTATGTATTTTCTGTACTGACCGATATCATGAACATTTCTAGAAATAAACTTGTAAATATTACTGACATCACAACTGTAACCAGCAAAAAATTACTAGCTACAGTAAGCATACTCATATCTTCTTAAGAACTACAACAGACCCTTCCTTTTTTAAATTCAAAACCAGAACTGGAACAGTCAAGATAGGTCAGCACTGTCCTTCTAAGACAAACAGATAAGAATTCATCCTTAAGAGAACAAACAAAATCAGAGGAAGGAACAAAGCCAGAGTTAACTGACATTCATGCATGCATTTTACTCAGACTTGCCTGCTGGGGCTGACGTACTAGAAGGAGCAGTGCTAGTAGTCCTTTGGTTTTGGGTATTACGTACAGCCCATTGCATGGAACGGGGAGCTTGGGCAGCACCATTGGCATGTGAGCTATTTGTGGTTCGTTCCAGAGGCTCATCAAGCATGAAAGTCTCCTGCTCTATGTCATCACTTTGACTGCTGCTGCTATCAGAGTCACTGGAATCATTTGATTGAGAGTCATCTTCAGAAAAAAATGCTGGAACACTGCTAGCGCCTGTTGAGGAAAATAAGCAATAAACAGTAACTGACAACTGCACATCTGTGCACGTATATATGTATCATGTCAGTGTCATAAACTTTTTTCCATGAGAAGAAACTATACATACTGAAAAGGTTCAAGTACCACTACTGAAATTCTTTAATGCATTATCCTTATAACATACTGCTAATTTTTCATAGGTTTCATGAAAAAGCAGTAAGATTACTTACATTTCAAAAGATAAATTAAGAAATAATTTGATTTAAAAATTCTTCACTGATTCTGCCCCCAGGCAATGATTTCTAAAAAGTATGCTTCCAAACTGGACAGTAGAGCAGTTGCTTTCAAAAAGCCTTAAAACGACTGGTCAGGTTTTGTGTTTTGTTGTAAACCATATGTAACTTCTACACTAAAAATGAGTGAAACCATTTCATTTCACTTCACAAGAGTGCAAGGTAATCTCTGGCTAACACATGCAGAAGCTCTGTAAGAGCAAAAAAAGATAGGCCACATGTTAGGGCATCTCCTTGTCCAAAAATTCTGCATAGTACCTTTACAATTACAGGCAAAGGAAAAGCAAAGGAATAAACAGGAAATGTGTGGAAGGTGGAGGTGGGAGGCAAGAAGCCGGATAAAGAGAAAAAAATAAAGAAAGGGAAAACAAGATTACAAGGGAAAGGTATTTGTTAAAATGTCATAACCAGGTAATTCTTGCTCTGTCCAGTCTAATTGTGAAGAAAGTAATTTCTCCAGTATACCTCTGGAGTGCTGGATGCAGTCCAGATCCAAAGGCAAACAATAAAATTTTTTAGGTGAAGCCAGTTCTGCCCTTGTTAAAGCCGTATTCAATCACTAACACATTTCTTTTTCCTGTACAACTTAATCCTAATATCTAAATTTAAACAGCTAGATTAAACACAAGATGATGTGGCATACCTGCTTCTGACCCAGCAGTAGCTGCAGTGACAACACTTCTGCGCCCACTAGCATTGTCCTGATTACTGTGGTTACTCTCACTGTCACTTTCTGTTTCAGCTGCAGCTAGCAAATCCAACTCCATATCACTGCCTATAGAAACAATATAAAAACCATCTCATGTTTAGAAAAAGAATAGAATGACTGTAGTGACTCACATAAAACACACTAAACAAAACCCGAAGCTTCTTACTATAGCAGAAGTTAATGGATATGCAGGGAGAGGTCATAAAAGCAGTGCAAACATGCAGCAGTACTTGGAGCATATTTTCTCATTTTCCAACAATTAGCAGCCCCTGGCCCTCTCACTCTGCACTGCACATACACATTCAACACACACACTGAAAATTAAGACTTTCAGGATTCAGAATTAGTCACTCAAGCCAAAAGACTCCACAACTCTTCATGCACACGTATTAGGACAATTAACCATATGCTGTTTCAAATGAATATCTAAGGAATACCTGAAACCTTTTTTTTTTAAAAAAATCTTATTAAAAAATGCAGGTTCTATTCAAGTTTAAGTTTTGAGAATTAAATGTTCTCAATATTCCGCATGTGAATAAACAGATTTCCTGTATTATAAATGGGTTGACTGGAAACACAAGGTACAGTCCGAAAGAGAAGTTTGGGTTTGTTTTTTTTTTTAAAAAAACATAGCTTTGGGCCATCTAATCCCAAACTAATACAAGACAGGTCATATTAATGGCAAGAATTTTCATACATAATGGATTAATTTTGTCTACAAAACACTGAACCATAATTTAATATTTTGTGATTGGTTTGAAAACTAGCTCACCATGATTCAGATCCCTTTTGAGAACACATCTACCAAAACCACTATTCTATCATTAGCCATACAAGAACTAGGCTTTTTTGCAGTCCTTCAACTAGTTTATGTCAACAACATTCTACAGTAGCAAATACAAAAGGCAAAACAGATATTGTTAACCAAGCATATAACAACATTTGGGTAGGTTTTCTTCTTTTTCCTTTGGTACCTTTTCTCCTCATGCAGAAAGAGAAAAATAAAAATGTTCACGTACTTGACTACTAAGAGTTATCTATAATGTTACTCATCTCCTTTTATAAGGTGTGTAGTCTGAAACCCTTGGATTCTCTCTACTCTGCAAGTCTCCCAAACCATTATCACTGGTGACTCCAAAGATGCCTTTTGCTTCAGTTGCACAGTTTGCTCATCCAAGCAGTAATGTCCATGATTTACACTGTACGTACCATCTTCATCATGCTCGTCATGCTGTCCTTCTGCTTCAGCATTTTCTTCACCATGTTCTTCCTGTTCATCATGATGGTCTTCTTCACCAGCTACCCCCTCAACCACCTCAACCTGGAAAGAGCATTGTCATTTTATGCTAGAATATCTTCCATATCGGAGATAATCTAGATATTTGAAAAAGCTCAGTGCAAAATTTGATTTAAAAACCAAGAAACATTGAAGAGCTACCATCCTGGTAAAAGACCCTCTCTACTTCTCTAATAGAACCTACGCAATAGCAACCATGTGCTGACAGACTTAAAAACTTTTTTAACAGGGAGTTATAATACAGCGTAAGTTTATACATAAAGGAAATGACAGGTGTATTTACTAGTATTCTAAATCATACTGTAATTCTGTCAAATGCAGGGCACTTAGTATACTCTGAAATGACTAAATATCGCTGAATACAAAACAATTACAAAGCTCTGTTAAGACAAAATGCTTATGGCACAGTAGGACTTCATGAAGTACTATATCTTTTGCAAATTGGAGGTCTTGATGCATGGATTTCTGGTTCAGATGCTAAAGCATGTGCTAATGCATTAGGTGCCATACTGAGAAGAAAAAAAAAAATACAAAAAAAGAAAACTGACCTCTTCCACATCTGCTGAAACAATATCATCTTGTTCTTCATCTCTGCCACGAACTGGTTGTGACTGGCTGATTCGTCTTTGCTGAGGATTCCTTATGATGTAGGATGACTGAGATTGACTAGAACTGTAAAAAAAACCAAAACACAAAAAAGTAGTTTTGGACCTCTGGACATCACTACAAACCTAAATTACTGTAGAAATCTGTCAGTGGGAAAGTACCTCCAAAATGCTTGGCCAGAATAAGAAGTCTCACCATATTTCTGTTAATGAAAAGCTACCCAAAACAAAACCACCTTTAACAAGTCTTTGAGAAGAACAAATAGCAAGCTTTAGCCAATTTTACCTGCTAGACTGGTCAGATGATGGTCTGGGTGGCAGAGGCTCCACAGAAAACAGTTCTTCACTTCCCTGCATGGCATCTATACTAGTGCTAGCAAGAGTAAAGGGTGCTGTAGGACGTGCAATTCCCATCCTGACTGGAATAATTAGAGATTCTGCTACATTGCACAACTCTTCAACAGCATAGGGCAATAATGCCTGGAATACACGTTTACATTTACCAATTGGCTGTGGAATAAAATTGCTAGGGAAAAAAAATACAGAAAAATAAAGGTCAAATACATCTTTTTTTCCAAAAAACTTTATGGCGGTATCAAATCTTTTTTCAAAAAGTCAAGACAATTATCTTTAACTGATACATACATTCATGTGTGTATAGCGACAATATGCACAGCTATTCAAGTCAGTTAAAAACACTGATCGTTCAATAATTCAAGACTAAGGCTGGATATCTAAATCTATTACTGACAAATAATGATAGACTGTAATTTTAACATGTTAGGATTTTTGGAAGTAGGGTTTTTTAACATTTTAGACAGAAGGGTTCAATATGAACATGTAAGTTTAACAAGCACTGTATTAAAAAGCTACATGACATACCAGCAGCTATTGTGCAATCTTGAGGTTTGCACCTTTCCACACAACACTGCCTACAGACAACAAATTATTTCAGATGTTTCTGCCTATTATTGATTTGTATCAACTAATTTAATAAGAGAATAAATATGTAAATGAAAAAAAACCCAAACCACCACAACCAACACACACACCCCCACCCCATCACTTACTTTTTCTTTTTGGAGGAAGCCATTTCCACACTAAGAATGACAAACACTCTTGCCACAGAACGCAGGAATCTCATTGTGACAGCAATCGCTTCTTCTCTGCGTCCTGGTGTATACTTGTTTTGTAATTCCTTTACCAGAGTACCCAGCAAAGTATCTAAGAGCTGTAGAAACAGGTCATTACAACCCAATAATAGCGTGTAATTTAGAAGCATGAAACGAGACAGATTCAAAGGGAGACCACAGCCATTACAGTATAAATTCACAAAAACACAACTGACTTGAAGTTATTTTCAAATTAGTCTGCAAGTGTATTACCTGAGATACACTAGAATATCACATTATTCAGAAAATCTATGTAAAACATGGCTAAGAACGCTTACCAAAATGTCTGCTGTACACTTGACAATAAGGCAGTGCGTAAAACAGTCCAGGCGAATAGTTCCACTTTGCTGATTAAGGTAAACCTGTTCTTCAGGTAGAAGATGACCTATCCTACTGCTTGCACTAAGACTTGGAAAAAACAAAAAGAAAGGAAATAAATTTTATATAAGTCAGCAGGTCCAAATATCAGATCAAACTTTACATTGACAACTATGAGTAAATACACACGGGTCTTTGTTTTCCTGGGAGCCAAACATGATCATGGACTTCAGTGCATTCCAGTCCTGCAAAACACGTTCCAAAGCAAGCTGGGCAAAACGAGGAGGTTCTAAATCATGATCAGGCATATCAGAATCTAAAGAGACAAAAAAGCAATATAAGAAAGAGGTACTGAAATACAGAATTTGCCATTTATTTCACTGAAACAGCTCTTACCTTCAGGATTTGCAGTTTTACGATTACGATCTTCCCTAATTCTAGGTGGTCTGTACTGGCAGTGTTCCACAGTTTGTCTGGCAACTGTCTGTACTAAAAACAGCAGCAGATGTTCTCCCCTGTAATGAAAAATTGATTAGTGGAGATATGATATACCACATATTCAAAAATAATAAAAATGATTCTGCCCTCGTCATTGCAAATATGAACTTGCCTGCTGTTTGGCATGGTAACAAGATTCGTGGTGGTAAGCAAGCGGTAAAGGAGATCAAGGCGAGCAGACTTTTGTCCAGCAATTAGTGTTTTACACTTGCACTTTTCCCAGCAATCACAGTAGGCTGTTGGAGATGTTCGTTTGAGCCTACAAGAAATAGAAAAGGTGAGCTGCAACACTGTTCAGTAATACACCAAATATTTTCTACACAGGCTGAGGGTGTCAGTGTATATAACATTAAGATTCCTGCTAGAGTTTTTTTGTTTATTATAGTAGCAAGATACCAAAACCTAGCTTAAAAGACAAATGCAGAGTTTATATGTGGCAACACTTGACATTTGCTATTCTTGTTTCCTACACTCATTTTAAGAGGGCAGTTTCATTATAGATCTTTTTATAGTGCCTCAGTAAAACTCATCCAAGACCATTTATTCTTCCCCAAAATAGCCTCCAGCCAAGAAAGTTACGTTGGAAATCCTCACAACATGCAGTAAAATCTCAGTAATTGTTACAATGCTGAGAATATCTTTATATTTGTATCTGTTAGCCTATTATAGCTAGGATATTAATACTGTAACATTTACACCCTGTAACGGTGGGACAAAACATCTGCAGCTTCAAAGCTTTGGCCAGGCTGATCAGAGACATCTTGACTGTTCATTTGACTGCTTGCTCATTTTTTCCCTTTATTATAGTTGATCTTAGAGATTAATATGCTACACTTCTTTCTGAAAGTTTACAAGAATGATCTGTCATCAGGATTCACTGGCTTCAGAAAACTCCTGGAGGCACCCAAAATGAAAACATAGTATTATTTAGATATATTAATCTTAGAATATTAAGGACTTTGAGGGTGTTAGAACTACTCATTTCCTCTAAATTCTACAAACTGAAAAGTACAAGACTGCTTCAGGTTACTCTTTCAATTCTGAACCATAAAACAAATCTTACAAAGCAGAAGGGAAAGGAGATATTTTAAATATTTTATTAATCTTCTGTTCTCTAATATCTGAACACTTCAACCAAGGAAATAAAAAATATTAACTGTCAGTAAACAAATGAAACCACAAAATATTGATTTAAGTATAAGAAACAGAACACAATACTTACTTGCAGTCATGTCCCTTGTGACAGACCCTTGCGCATTCTGTGCAACAACAAAGAGATTCCAATAGGCCACATGTTCGGCATTCAAATATATCCTAAAAAAAATTTACCAAAAACATTATGCATAGTTTTCTCCCTACAGCACTTGCAATATCACAGCATTTCAGGTTACCATAAAATTGCACTTGTTCAAACTGATGCCCTGACTTTGAAGTAAATAAATTCTAGAAAGGGAAACTTTGTTGATAGTTAGAATATTCAGTGTTTTCAAAGAGCTGTTTCCAGCAAAATTTTTGCCAAAGCTAGCCAGAGGGGAAAAAACCACACCCATAAACAGCCATATTCTGACCAACACAGCCAGCTTTGAGAGCACAAAGCTATTAGGGGAGGCAAAAACTATACCAGACTTAAAAGTTACAGTAATTAAAACAATGCAACTTTAATAATTTAAAAATTAGATTAGTAGACTAATACAATACGTGGTTGACACACATTCCTATTTACTGGAGAGAGAAAAAAAAAAAAAAAAAAAAAAAAGCGCCTTACTTGGTTAATATGTTCTGCACCAGTCCACGTAAAACTGCATGTATCATTACAACACAAAACATACAAAGGAGAGTCATCTGGATTTGTACCAGAAGGACAAACCATTCCCATAAACACATCATCTTCTTTTTCACTGGAAGTTGCTTCAGCTAAAAGAACAATAGAATACCAGTGTCAAAAACAACCCCCAAACAGTAAAAAAACCCCACCAACAGAACCCATACTTGACAGATGTTTGCCATTACAAGATCCCATACAGAATTAGAAGTTTGAATAAAGTCTCTGTCACAGTTTTTTGAGAAAGTTTTCTGCTTGTCATGTTACAGATATTTCTTACAGAAGCTGCTGCAAACTCCTGACGGAAAAATACAACCACCAACTCTTCTGCAGTTTTAAATTCACTGATATTCTCATCAATTCAGTGGATCACCATTTTGAAGGATTAAAAAATAATGTACGGGCAATATTCTTATCAGGAATACATACAGTCCTACAGACCTTGTCACACCACAGTTCTAATCTACTTAAGTTTCTCCTTAAGTTCAGCTTCACATATTTCTCTTAAACAATTAAATACCAACATCAAAAGAGAGTCACAAAACATGTGTTGATATAGAAGTCTTTTAAGGAACAGGATCTAGCTTGGCATACTGCTTTATCATATTGGTTTTCTCCGATTCAAAGAAAGAAGTTTCAGGTGATACCTTTGTGCTACTGAAAAATAGTACCTTAATCCACTGATGTTTGTAAAGCAATGAAATGCTGAAATGACTATAAAGAACACAAAAGCAATAATATTAATAGAAATCTATCGTAATACAAAAAAGGAAGATAGTTCATAATAGCAAGATTTCCAAAACATGCAGCAATATACAGTGTTTTGGAAAGAGGTGTTTATCACCATCACCAGTTGCTCAAGCACATGTAATTTCACACACGAAAAAGCACTGTTAATAATGAATCTGCACACATGCCAAACTTTAGAAGGAAATCACATGCTAATAATTACTGAAACTGGTATACCTTTAGCAATTTTCTGTGCAGTTTCTAGAATTGTAATTGCAGCAGGATATGCCCGGCCACTAACTGCTGACATAAATGGTGTCATGCCTCTTGCATCCCTAGGGAAAAAAACAACAGACAAGTTAAAACACACTGAATTTTTTTTTTTTTTTAATAACAGAACAGGTAGGAAACAAATATATGAAAACTTAGCACTGCTAATCTTGTGCAAACAGAAAAACTACAGAGTGGATAAGCACTCTTTCATTTGTTTTACCTCTGTGAAATAGACTTAATTTTAAGGGATGGCAGGACACAAATACAGCCAATATTCTAACATTCTCCATTGTAACTAATGCACCTTAAAATAACCTTTTTAAAAAGGCTTCTATGTAAGAAATTTCAGGTGATATAACATTACAAAGGATAGTGAGAATTCATATGAAAATCCTTACTTAGCTGACAGCAATTCTCGAAGATAAGGTTGTAAAACAACACTATCGCACAGTAATTTCAGTATGAAATGAGCATTTGCCTTCCGATCCTTTGATTCCACTACAGATGGTTCAGTAGAAGGACCTGTAATGAGGGGGAGGAAAAAAAAAACTGCAGAGAAACAGTTTTTCCTCAAAAAATGTCTACCTATTAAAAGCAAGTAATTCAATGTTTCACTGGGGTGATTAATCAGTAGCTTGAGTATTCAGTGGTTTGCCAGTTTCAGCAACATTTCACTGAAGTACTGTAAATTTGAGTTCCAAATTACATTCTGAAATACAGACAGTAATCCCAATTTCATACTGATTACCACATTTTTACATATTTGTCATTCCCCAGGTAAAAATAATTTTTAAATAAAACACAGCATGGTGCTTCATTTACTTTCTGCACACTTGTGAAATTCTGCTTCAATCCCATCTTCATCTGATAAGAGGCATTTTCATATGCGGAAAGTCTGTGCAAGCAAAGACAGCTTTTGAGATCATTTTCCTTCTAAAGCATAATCAGATAAGCAGTATGTCCTCACCTGGTATGGTGGAGGTGCTAGGTCCTTGGCCGGTGCCAGTCGCTGCTGTGGTAAGAGATCCCACAGCGGGGGCCAGGATAAAATCAATGTCACCATCTTTCAGTAAACAGAACAGCAGGATGTATATCAATACATAAAAACATCCCTAACAACATGCTCTTTCTGCAATGTCTAACACACTGCAGGTTTTCTGCATTTAATTGGTACTCTTTCCTACAAACGGCCACATTCCTAGATTAGTAATGTAACTCAACGTTACAAAACACACTTCACAGAATTTTGACACCAGTGTTAGAAAGACACATACTGGATTTAAAAACAGCTGTTAAATCTTCAGTAAACTCTTAAAGCTAGCTCAATGACCTCTTGCTACCTCAATGACATTAGGTATTTAGTCTCATGCTGAAATCTAAGTGATTCACCTTAAAAGCCATTGGTTCCTTTATTAAATCTCTCATTCTACAGTCTAAAGTGATACATGAGCAGACTTACCCGGATCCATTGAAGGAGGATCTGGAACCCAGCTGGGAGGAGCTATTGGTGGAGAAACCGGGTCCTGGTGATCACTTGATGAAGCACCAGCTTCATGTCTGCCCAATCCAGCAGCTCTCAAGGATCTTCTCATCATTTCCCTTAATCTCAAACTGAATACAAAATGAATGTAAAAATACTATTTCATTTTCAATTAGAACATTTTAAAGCAGAATTTCACACTGAAAAAGGAAACCAAACTCGTCTTATCTCTCTTTTTTTTCAGCACAAAGAAGAGCAAAGAGGTATTTTTCATTCCTGTATTGCATTTTGTTGCAATAGAATATAATGACCTTGGAAGAAGAGCCAGCCAGCAACGTATCAAGACAGATCTGAGCCCAGAACGCATCCCTAGTCACTACAGCACTGCCTCTTGCAGGGAGCAGCAGCTGATGGGTGTTATTACCACTATTTGACATTCCTTTTACCCCAAACTCATTGCCAGGGGTATTACGCTTCTGCAAGGATTTGGTCTTGTTGCTGCTGTTTTTTAAAATCTAACTGCAAGAAGAGGTTAACGAAAGAATAAACATGGGGCTTGAAAAACATTTTTTTTGAAAGAAGTTATTTGTTTAAAGTTATTTAACATGAAAATACTACTTTACTGAGGACGGTCAGTAAAGGATTTCAAGAAATTCTGTAACATCTTACTCTAGAGGGAAAGGTGGTAGGAATAAGGCAGAAGCCAAAGAACCCAGTGTGATACAAAGAGGTACAAACATAAAGGTGGTTTGTTTGTTTGTTTTTTTTAAAAGATACTTCCTTTTAATACTAATGTCTCCTACAGAATGTGGGAGGGAAGCTTCAACCCTTACCCTTATCTCTGATATCAAAAAGATCATGGTGATGAGGACTGTAGCTTGGGAAAGATAAAGACATCATTTCATATCAGTTGCTTTGACTTCAGAGCTAAGTAAAAAAAATGTACTATGCCCTCATCCAGAGTGTTCTGAACTGACTAGAACTCAGTACAGATACCATCAAATTCCCTTGACATGAGCACCACTCAGTTACCATCATGGAAAGAGGAAGAACATAAATATTTGTCATCAGAAATTAGGATTCTGTCAGGGTCAGAAACCTATCCTTTAGAGCCACCTCAATACAAAGGAATCCCACTACAACAATGATTGCTTACAATAAAAAGAATCAACTGAAGTTCTTCCCCACTGGTGTTATGTTGATCTCGGTGTTACTTATCTGTGTAAAGTGACCACCTCCCTCAGAAATTCTCTTAAAAGAAGAAGCCTGGGCGCTATTATAGTACCTTCCACAATGCTTAATTCTCCTTGGTAAAGAACACTAGAGCTTATCCTCAAATTCCCTTTCCCCACAAGGAGGAGCATTTCCACTTTACAACTGAGGAGACAATGCCCCAGTCCCAGAAAACAGAGTTAGTTTAGAAATATGCCACCATTAGTTCTCACACCAGAAAAGGCTTCCAAAAAACCGCTAGAGCTCTAGTTTGGTGTTTGAAGAAGTGAAATCTGACTTCAAACTAGCAATAGAGCCCGTTCTTAAACTAGACTGAAGGAAAGGATTAAAGAGACTGGTAACTAATATGGAAATTAGCATACAGAAAACAAGAAGAAAGCATTAGTCAGTTTACCTTCTGCTGCTTGATGATCCTGCCCGATTTCCTGGACCATTACTTGACACAACGGAGATTGCATTCGCAATAGCTTCCACAGCTGAGAGCCTTTCAGCAAATGTATTCCTTTCAGACCGCTCTGCTTCTGAAAAATTAAGAAAAGCGTTAGTGCCAAAATTTCACCTCAGAAAATTATAAGGAAGGAATATAAAGTATGAAATGTCACTAATCATAAAATGTTCCTTGCATTTGTATTTTTTAAGATTTTTTTTTTTTTTTTGTAAAAGATTTAGAGGGACAGAGCAGGTTCACATACAAATTTTTATTTTGGATGAGCTTAACCATGATTCTGACTGGTTTTAATTTCTAAAAGGTCATCAAGGAAGGAAATTCAAGGCACCCGAATTCCAGAACAAGCTTTCAGTATCATTAAGAGACAAGGACCTATCCCATAGCTGATTCCAGACACTTGCTGAGTCAAGGCTTCAAAAGTAATGACAACAACAACAACAAAAAAAAACCCAGATCACAGCAAAAAAAAAAAAAACAAACAACCAAAAAACAAACCTTACAATGAGCAACTATGAACAACAACGCAAAGCTGTGGGCCTCTAAGATACACACTCTACTTATGAGCATGCTTAGGAAAACTAATTGTGTTATGAGTAAAATAAGGTATATAATAAGGTAGCACAATCAGTTTACATCAGAAAGAATGAGCATTTCTTCTAACGTCTAAAACCCTAAGCACTGTAACACGTAAAGGTCCTAGTCATAATGAGGACCGAATTGTGCCAAGTGCTATACAGAATATAAAAAATTGCCTAGCTGTACAGTTACAGTACAACTTGAAGCAGCCACCTGAATCAAAGACCTAATGTAGATTTATTTACGTGCAAGATAAATACACAGATAAAGCAGTAAAGTCAGCTGTACAAGGTTTGCATAGAGTAACAGTCATTGCTTCTTTAGGAGCTACTGACTATTAAAGATTGCATAGCCACTACACAGCAAATTATGAATCACTACGGCCATGGATCCAGAAAGAACTGAAAGAGAAATAACTTTCAGCATGATACAGACCAGGAGAGGGGCAATTTTCCTTTCAACAGAGAGAAAGACAATTTTTGGTACAAACTAGAAGGAACAGGTGTATTTCGGGGGGGGGGGAATTCCTTGAAGTGACTCCGATCGTTCTTTCAGGACATGTTTCAAAGTTTGTATGGCTAGTGCTCACTTTCCATTTAAAGGCTTTTCAAACTGACAGTCACCATCCTCTGCACGCATATTTTCTCCACTGACAGTACTAAGACCTGGATAATTCCCTTTTTTTTTTTAAAACAACAATGTACTATTAATACCTTTGAGTTCGTAGAATAAGGTAGTTCAGTGGTGTTTGTCAGCTTTTATTATATGTCTATTCTTTAGATCTTTCTACTCATCACTATGTGAAGTAGCAAAGATCTTAGGTTTTGCTTGTTCTCAAGCATGTGCAGGGTTCTTAGACAAAAATCACCTACTACCCACAGCAGATGACTATCAAGCACTTAGCAGAATATTGCTCTTGTGCCCAGAGTTCTATACTAGTTGACCTGTAGTTGTAAATGAATTGCCATTGTATTTGTGCTGTACTTTCTAAGATCCAGTAGTTCTCTTAACTCGTGATGCATCCCACAGTACTTCTGGACCCCTCACACAGGGTGTCACAGCTCTTCAGAGTGATCCCTCAAGCAACAGAAAGCAACACAACCATTCTCTGCAACAGAGATTTCACCTATCCTTGGTCCCACAGTAAACTGTAACTGAATTTTTGCTGTTCTACTTATGAAGTTAGTATTAATTTTTGGAGACCCATCTATTGTAAATACCCTGGCTCTGTGTGTGATTTGCTGTTCTGTTGTCTAATGAAACCTGTCACAATTCTCTAGAAAAAAACCCTCAGTTTGTAGGTGCTCAGTAAAGTTATCTGAAATTTATAGAATCATAGAATCGTTTAGGTTGGAAAAGACC